CTCTCTCTCTCTCTCTCTCTCTCTCTCTCTCTCTCCCTCCGATGCGGACAGTCCGTCGTCATGCACCATTCCGTCGTCATCCACCAACCCACGAAGTTGTCACCCCGCGTAGTCCTCTCGCACCCGTCGGATTCGCCCGTGCCCACAGTCCGTCGTGGCCCATGTCAATCCCGCGCGTTCGGCACCAGCCCGTCGGGTCGCCCAACTCCTACTCTACTCACCTCTTACTTCGCTCGTGTGTCGATCCTTCCTGATCGCGCAACCCCGAGCTTCCATCAACGGGTTAAGAGAGCTGACTAATCGCGCAGCCGAAATTTATAGCGTGCATGCATGTGCGAAGATCACGGAATTGCCAAGACTTAGAGTGAAGATTAGAGAGAGAGCGCCTGCGTTCTGCATGATCGGGCCGCGGCGTGGGGGACGTAACCCTTCTCCACGCATCGATCCGAGCATGCAAGCCGCGGCCTACAAAAATTTCAGCAAAAGAAAGAGAGGGACGGCGGGAGAGACGAAGTGCAAGAAGAAAGATACAGTTACAATGGTGCCCGCCCAAATTACAGTTACACACACGGTTAAGGGCGCCCACTAATCAGAGTACCGTTGCAGCCGCATGAAGAAGCGCGTAGACAAAAGGCGCCGCGGGGCAGAAAAAGTCCTAATTACTAAATTCCTAAATTCCTATCTAATGCGAAAAAGCAAAAAGCATAAATTCTAGAAGGAAAGTCCAAAATTCCGAGAGCCATCGGGAGAGGGGGGGGGCTCGACAAAATTCGAAAAAGACTCAAAGGAAAAATTCAAAAGAACAAAGCAATTTCCCACGCGATGTCCGCGCCCAAACGAAACGAAAGAAACGACGTCATCATTTATTAATCGCGCGCGTGGTGGCGCGCCAGACATCCATCCGACCAATCACTCAACCGGCCGTCCCAAGACACACCCAGCTCCGAACCCAGTCATTCGACAAGAAGCGACGAAAAAGACGAAAAAGCAAGGGTACTGATGCAATTTTTCCACCGATCCCGATTTCCCGTAATCGGCCCAATCTTCCCAGCTTAGGACCCCTCGTTGCAACCGCGCAGAAAATCGCGCGTTACAGAAAGTGGTTCGTCACATATGTGACGCCCAGGGGGTTCCAATATTAGCAAGCTCCTGCTTGCTTGTTGACACGTGTCGATTTCTCTATTTGATCGACACGCGGAGCACTTTCTTCTATGCCACTTATCGTTCGCGTGGGCGTCATCCAACGTGGCAACACTGCTCTTCTACTAGTTCCTCAAATTGGGCTCTCGACGATTCAAGGACGGGATCTTTCTCGTGCCGTCGCCGTGACACGCATCCATTATCTGTTGCATCAGTAATTAACCAGGAGGGGGAAAGGGAGTCGGTGCATGGCGGCATGGCGGGGTGGAGGGTTTATGGATAGCGGGGGCAGAAGGCTTTCCATTCCGGCTACAGTCTCCGGAAGCTCTTGGTAGCGAACGATGCGGTGAAAGTGGGGGAAGCGATTGCCAGTGCGAGGGAGGGATGCGAGATAATCAGGATAGAGGGTGGTAAGAGTCCGGAAAAGTGCCGCGCGGAAACGATCGCGATCTTCGCATGCGGGGATGGTCCCCGTTATCACGCAGTAAACCTCGATCATGTTGTGGCCTCGCCACGCGGCACTAAGGAGCAGGACATGGAGGCAGAAGGCTGGGACGGCGCATCGAATTGAGGGGTGGGGATGCACCACTATAGCGAGGCGAGCAGCGTAGAAGTGGCAGAAGGTGTCGCGGGGAAACGGATTGGAGAGGAACGTGATGGGAGTGGTGAGCTGGTGGAGGGTGAGGTAGTCAAGGGGACGGTGAGAGAGTGATCGGGGACGAAGGCCGATCGCCCGTATCGGTACGTCGGCAAACTGGGGGACGGGTTGAGGAGGAGGGGGATCGGCTCCGTCGCCGCGCTGATGGGGTCGGAGTCGTGGCTGTGAGGTCGCCATCTTCAGGCCGGGGCGGCTCCGGATCTCGGTTCGGGTCGTCGGTGATCTGCAGGCTCGCCGCGCTTGCGAGCTCTAACTCCTTCCCGGCTGCGATCTCTTTTCTTTTGCGGGCCGCCTCGAGATCTTCTGCTTCTGTACCCGTACGCAGCGCTTCTTCTGGCACGGCTTCCCACTCCGATCCAGCAGGCTCTTCGTCGTGCTCCTCTTCTCCTTCCTCGTCCTCTTCTTCTTCTTCGCTTTGTTCCCCCTCACTATGCTCGCTATAGCTTCCTTCTTCGGGGGTTTCGTCTTCTTCATCGAGCTCTTCGTCACTCCCGGTACTCTCTTCCTCCTCCTCTTCTTCTCGAATGGCCGCAAACTGCTCCGCCGTAGGATGCCTGAAGAAGGTAGGATTGCGAACCGTCCGGGGATCCAAATATTGTTGCTGCGACGGCGGGATGCGTTCTGCGGCTCCCTCTACACAAGCCGACCACTGAAGGTAAGGTGTCAACGTGCGAGAAAGTACATGGGGAATTGGATGCTCGTCGTCTTGCGAGATGATGTCGAGAGGGAGATCGTCCGCCAGTTGCGCTACCGGGATCGTGAGCTCTTGCGTGATGAGTTCCTGATGACCGGGCCGCACAGTACCGAATAGAAATGCAAGAAGTTCTCCCTCCACGTTGGTTCGCCAGGCCTGAATGAACAGCAACTCCAGGCGCTCTATGCAAGGCGGGTGCACTTCGTCCTCGATCCACGTCAGTCGTACCTCAACCAAGCACAGTGAAAGCTCGATGAAGTCTTCGCGCCACAGGACCCAATGGGGAGGATGGATATCGGGGACAGCAAGGGGCTTTAGACAGTAGGAAAGGCGGGGGTGGATATCGGACTGCCAGAAGGTGGGGAAGGTGGAGGGGAGATCAAAAACGAAAATCGGAGAGAGACTCATTGGGGATGGGGGAAGGGAACAAGGGCAGGGAGATCTGTCGGCGGCTCACGCTGATACATCCGAAGGCCGTCATATTCGATCGCTCGTGTTGTTGCGACTGTATCTCCGGAACGAGCCAGAAGTTGGGTCCACTCAGCGACCAGGTCGTTTGCCCACGCGCGCAGCGATGCCCTCACCGCTGAATGCCGTAGGGGAAGGAGCGTGGAGAGATCGCCCCGGAAGTTGATGACGACCGATATACGGCTGACCCTCGGCGCCGCTCGCTGATGGACTGCTACTGCTTCGACCAGTACCACCGCGTCAGGCCGGCCTTCGATTCTGAATACCGCCGCTGCGTACACGCCTTCCGTGCAGAAGAAGTGCGCAAGCCGCCGAAGATCTGGACTGAGGCAGGGATGATAGACCTGCCGGATCGTTAATCGATCACGGGGCGCGAGCGCTGCTTCGCTGAGGGCTCTCTCCTCCATAAAACTCATGGCGATGGCGATGGTGACGGGGAGGCAGAGAGGGAGCAAGAGGAAGAGGGAGATGGCGGAGAGTCAGAGCCGTCGTCTTCGGCTTCCTCGGAATGAGAGATCGAGGGAGAAGGAGACGGAGCAGAGGGGAGGAGACGAAGATAGGACACGTGGCGTGTGATCGGGCGTGCCGATCGGCTGCCAGAGACTTCAGGGGCAAGACGCACAATGTCCACGCCGTTGGGGCCGAGCTCGATCACGCGATATCGCCCGAAGAATCGTGGCGCTAGCTTACCCTGTCGAGCACATTTCCTCACCTGCACCACGTCCCCCAATTTGTACAGGGGCCGCAGACCCGCATTCCCATTTCGGGCCTCGTAGCTCCGGACCTGTCGGCCTTGGGCTAGTTCGGTCATTTTTTGTCGCTTTCGGGCTAGCCTGGGCAGCGACCGTTCCATTAACTCTAGGTGACGTTTGACCTTGTTCCGAGCCGTGGCCCTGGTGGGCCGTCAGTTCAATGTAGACTCATCCGGGAGGCTTGGTATCGAAACGCAAGCGACACTATTGGTCCTTAATTGGAAGGGACTCAGCCTCGTCGATTCGTGGGGCGTTCCGCGATGGACCGCCAGGATATGATCGACGATATTGGGCCCGGGTCTTGGATCCCGTGCCGCGATGTTTCGTCGCAACGCTGTCTTTATCACCCGGTTGGCGTTTTCGACCAGCCCATTGGATTGTGACATGTGGGGTGCAGTGTTCCGTATGGCGACGCCATGTAGGACCAGATTCCTTAACACTTCTCCCGTGAATTCAGCCCCGTTGTCGGTCAGGATCTCTTCTGTATCCTAATGCATCCCGAGGAAGCGGTTGACATATCGTGCGATTTTCGTGGCTTGCCGCGTGCGACAAGGATACGCTTCGATCCATTTCGAGAAATGGTCGACAAATACCAATAGGACTGAATATTCACAACTATTAGGGCCAGGGGGCACCACTATGTCGGTAGTGTCCATGCTTACTCTCTGAAATGGCCGTTCAACAACCGTGGGCACTATCGACCTTGGTGGTTGAATCGGTGCTTTATCAGCGGCACAAACTTGACAGTTGGTGACGATGTACTTCACATCGTCGCGGATATTGGACCAATACCACTCATTTTTGTCGATAGCGAACTCTGTGATTCGTACGGCAAAATGGGCCGCAGTTTCCTCGTGGGCTGTCTTAACCCAGTCATACAGCATGAACGGATGCGGCACTACCATCCAAATCCCACTGCCGTCCGTTTTCCGTGTTTCTAATCTACCTTCTATCCATCGATAATCCCGAGCCCTTTCGTTGGCTCTCCTCCGATCTTCCTTGGTGAAATCTTGGAGGGGGTTACCTACTAGGGTGGTAATTAAGGCAATATTCGTCCATACTTCGGCCCTTCTAAACTTCCGGGTCTTTTCCAATCCTTCTGACGTGGCATCCAAAAAGTGAGCCTCGGTCGGAATTTTGTCGGTCCGACGCAAGGGGCACAACCACGGCTTATTATCGTTCCTGTATTGGATGCACGAGCCATGGGCTCGCGCGACACATTGTCGGCAGTCTATCCAATCCGCGTATCCCTCCCCGTTAGGACGCATGGAGACCGAATAGACGCGGGAGATGGCTTCGCAAAAATAGCAAAATTTGTCAGGGAGGGAGGGAGAAGACGAGGAGGACGGGGGAGAAAGAGGGGTAGTGAGGTTACCTCCATCACCCATCGCCACCGTTTTGCTTCTTGCCACGTGGGAGAACTGCCACTTGTCCGTACTTCGGCTCATTGGTCAAGTCCGGCTCTTTCCACGGTGTAATTTCCTCACCCTTTGGTACCTTGGCAGGTCGATGCAGATGTGTCAGCCCGTCCGCGTTGCCTTGTCGCTCTGTCTTTCGATGGACGATATCGAAGTCGTATTCTTGTAGCCGCACCGCCCAACGGCCAATCATGCCTGTGTAGTTGGTGAGTTTCTTCAGCGCCAGCAGAGGCTCGTGATCCGTTACGAGGTGAAACTTATGTCCGTAGAGATACGGATGGAAGTGTTGGATTCCCCAAACTACTGCATAACACTAGCCTTGAGGTGCGGAGTCGTTTCTTCGTTCGTCCGGTACGGTTCGTGACGCGTATTCGATGACGTGTTCGCGACCATCGTTCCCCTTTTGCGCTAGAATAGCAGAAATAGCTTTCGGTTGCCAGTCTGTGATGAGGATGAACTGCTTCGAGGGGTCCAGCCGAATCAAAATAGGGGTCGTTGCCAGAGCGTCCTTGAGGGTCGCAAAGGCCTGTTGGCACTCCGCGTCCCAGCTGAGAGGCTGGTCCTTCCGTAACAGATTCGTTAGTGGTCGTGCGATCGTGGCAAAGCCTTTAATGAAGCGCCGGTAGTACGACGCCAGTCCCAAGAAGGCTCGAACCTGCGTCAGTGACGTGGGAACCGGGGCTTCCTTCACCGCCGCAACTTTTCTCGAGTCTGGCCGCAATCCTCCACGTGTCACGACATAGCCCAAGAACGAAATTTCCGAGAGGAAAAATTCGCTCTTCTCAAGCGCAATCTTGAACCCAGCATCTCTCAATGCGCCCAATGTCCACTCGATGTATTGCGCGTGCCCGTGATAGGTCTCCGAATAGACCAGGATGTCGTCCACGTACACGATCACACAAAAGTTAATCATCCCTTCCGTCAGTCGTGTCTTGTTGACAAAGTTCTAGAACGTCATGTTCATCGCTCGGTGAAACGTGGCAGGCGCATTGCAAATCCCCATCGGACACCGAACCCATTGACCGTTTTCGACCGATCTTCTTCCCTTACCAGAATATGATGGAAGCCATGCCGAATATCAAGCTTGCTGAAATAATTAGCGCATCCAATCGCTTCCAACAGATCATCAATCCGGGGGAGGGGATACACATCTTTGATCGTGATTTCATTCAGCTTGCGATAATCAATGCAAATGCGAATCGCTCCGTTCTTCTTCGGTACTAACACTACGGGAAAAGACCAAGGTCCAGTAGCGGGTTCAATCCAACCGCTGGCTTCGAACTCCCGAATTCGTTCGAGAGCGTTTTTGCGTTCAATCAAGGAATAGCGATAAGGTTTGCAATGAATCAGGGAGTGATTTCCGGTCTGAATTTCATGTTGGATTACTAATGACAACCCAATGTCGGTGTCTGACACACTAATCGCTCCTTGATATTCTGTTAGAATATCCGCAATTACTCTGTGGATTTCATCCGGCACGTATTGTGGAACGTGCAGTTCAAAAAGTTGGTCCCAGATCCGAACGTCAATCTGTTTCGTGTTCACCTGTTTTGTCAAGTCGAGTGGAGGCGCCGAGATGAATGAATGATGCGATCGCCAGGAGAACACCGTGGCCATCATCTGGGCATCTTCTTCTCGGATTGCCACGTGTCCTTCCGGGATAATCCCGTCACAAACATCCTGCCATGGCACTTCCTTAGTTGCGATCTTTATCCCCAGCCCGTCTGTTTCTGCTTCAAAACGCCCAGGGGGTTCTAGAGAGCTTGCTTCCGCCCCCAAGCGTAACAATCTCACTTCTTTAGCCGAGGTTAGTAAAGACTTGGGTAGATCCGTAATGTCACAATACTGCTTCTTGCCGCTGTACAGGGCGAGGAGAGGGGCGATTCCTTCGTACAGAGTTTGAGGGGGTTCCAAAGAATCGATCATCCTAGAAATTTGTACAAGGGGCTCACCCAAGATCATTGCCTTGGTCCTTTGAATTTTTCGGCTGGTCAGTTGCATCGTTCTCGCTATTGTTTTGGGTGGCGGGTAGTAATCGCGTTGTCATACCAATTTTAAGATCTCCGGATCATCTTCGTCACTGCTTTCCGCATCATCAGTTGATGACTTTCCCTCTGCGGGTTCATCCCAGGAGATCATGCGGAGCGTCCCTGCCATCATCGGCGAAACCCGCGGAACCGCGTTAATAGTAGTGCGAAGGGTCAATCGCATGGGCACAGCGCAGGGTTTTCCTCCTGTATTTCGGAGGACGATCGATCGTCGTTCGAAGTCCAGGTTTGCTCGTAACGCCACAAGAGCGAGAAGTCTGAAAAGAACGTCGTATGTATTAACATCTAGTACTACGACATCCCCAAGAGCGTGTACTTTCCTAATCGGAAGGCGACATTGGTCATTCTCCCCACAATTTTAATCTTTTACTCATCTGCCGAAACGAGCTGATCTTTCTCGGTGAGCATGATCAGATCGTTTTTCCTGTCTGCCCTTTCAACCACTCTCAGTGAAATAGCCAACACGGCTGCTCCCGAGTCTATAATTGCGTTGTAAGGAATTCCCCAAATTTCTATATCGCACTCTGCGGATTTCCACGAATTGGTTTAATCCGTAAGAAATTATCGTCTTTTTTAATTAATCCTATCCGTATCGGATCCGGAGTGCTTGTTGGGTTTTCTTCCGGAGCGGGGCCTTTGGCTTTTACGTTCAGTGCTCGGGTGAGGGCGAATCGCTTTCGATTCGCTTTGCAATGCTGTAACATTCGCTCGTTGGCTTGCTCGGAGATCGAGAGTAGATGACCGATCGGAAGGGGAATCCGATGATCCAAGGCTCGGACGATGTTTAATACATCGATCTCTCCTGTGACGAAGGTGGGTCCTCCTGACTCCATTTCTCCTAGGGACGGTCGCCACTCCGCCACCTCTTTTGGTTCTGGCACTGGTCTGATTGTTCCGATCATTCCAAGCCCAGGATATCCCAGCGACACATACTGATCTAACGGGATTAGTTCGGCGGCCTCTTCCGTGGTGGCCAGGGCACTTCCCCCACCTTCTACTTCTTCCATCAGGGCTCCGACTCGTCCAGGTCCGTTGGCGATGGGAGCCGCAGCCATAGGTGCGGCCCCAATTCGCTGTTGCGGGGGTCGGTGGGGGCAATCACGGGCTAGATGTCCTGGCTGATGACAGGCATAACAGACATTCAGATTATTTGCGACTCCTCCGAGCGCAGGGGTCGGGGTTAATCCTTGCTGCATCGGAGGGGCGCGTACCGCAATGGGTCGCATGTTCCTCATCATGGCTTCCAGCCGAGCATTGTGCTCTCGCTGCTCCTTTTTGCTTTCTTGGAACGAACTAATCAAGGTCTTGGTTAGTTCGAAAATGGCCGCTGATTCGTTTGTTCGTGCGGGAGCCTTAGCCGGTGGCAGTGGTAACGCCCTGACGGGCGGGGGCATCATAGGAGCAGAGATGCTCGGAGTCTCGCTTAGGATTACTCGTTTGGGGCCTATCTGTTCCATATAGGTGACAGGTCCTGATACAAATCCCATGTTTTCAAATTTGTTATGCAAGGCAGCCAGCTCTGCTCTCGCACGTGCGAGCTCGGTCGAATCTCCGTCTCTAGGGTAGTCTTCTCCTTCCAGGAAGTTCGCCGCGAACTTCCGTTCCATTTCTTCCGCAACAGCCATAATTTGTTGTAGCGTATAAGTGATGGGGGAAAATTGCTTCCACAACTTCGCCCTTATTGTTCGACTACGGAGTCCGTCAATGAACAGATCTCTCCCTACTTGCTCTCCTCGCTCAGTTTTTACGAACATCCTGTAGAACCGGTTTCGATATTCTGCAACGGATTCGAGCGGTTTTTGCACTCGGTCCTTGATCATGTACAGCGCTTGCTCTGGGTGGACATAATCAAATCGGTTCATAAAATCTCGTTCGAAGGTCGGGAGATCCACCCATACACAGGTACTATACCAATGATGGGCGTCTCCTCCCATTCGGGCCGGAATGTTGATCTGTGCTTCGTGATCATCGTACTGTTGTGCTCTAAGCGTAGCCAGCCATGCTCCTGCGAGATGGTGCGCCAGATCAAATAGATAGAGATCTGGTGGCAACATGGGAGCTCGTGCACGTGGGGCACGTTGATTGGGTGGATTAGCATTTTGTTGCGGAACCGGATTTTGCACATTGGCAGCCATATTGGTTGCTCGCGGGTTAGCCGATCTGCTTCTGGTGACGATAGGGTCGCGTCTATGCGCGTTCCGAGGGCGAGGTCGCCCACGGTTAGCCAGGTCGCCTAATTAACGTGCTACGAATCCCAAGACCCTAGCCACGTGTCGGGCTCCGATACCAACCTCACGCCCAGCGCGACTTCCTGATCGGACTGGGGTATGGGCCTGGAAGGGCGAAAAGGGGTGTGCCAAGGATTTTTGGGAAAGTGGGGGAGTCTTAAGGGTATGAATGCAATTAGGTGAATAAGGGGAGCGTGCGCAAGGGACTCAAGGTCCGATGGGGCCGGGGCACTGTGGGCGACGGTTTACGGGGAAGTCCCTCCGCGGTGGAGGTGGTCCCGAAAAGTTAGGCCGTCGGGGGCCGCCACGTGGCGCAGGCGGCCGCGTACCTGGGTTGGGCCTTCGTAACTCCGGAGTTCTCTGTTCGCCGCTACGTCGGCAATTCACACAGAACGTATTGGGCCAATAGGGGGCTATGGCCGACCACGGAACGACGTTGAGTTGATGATACTGGAGAAGAAGGCGGAAAGGAGGGAAACTGGTGGTGATGACAACAAATCCCGGGTGGGTGAAGTAGTAGGTATGGTCGGAGGAAGGGAAATCAGAGCACCGAGGGTCGCTAGAGGTGGCGCAGTGGAACTCCCGCAGACGTAATCGATTCTCCGTGTGACAGGGGTATCGTGTTTTTATGAGCTCGTTTATCAAAGGGGTGAAATAGTCCGGGTCGTAGGATGAATCTGAGCTCCAAGATCGCGTCATGGTACCATCGTGGACGGGATGGCTCGGGTTGAGATATCGTTACCGCGCACGAGCACGTGCAGTGTGCTCGCACGGGATGACGGTTCCGCCGCGAGTCTTTTCGGTTCGGGTGAGCGAATCGCCGCACGGGAACGCGTGTAAGGGCGCGACTCGGATCGCGTTTACACGTGTTCTCGCGCGGTGATTGCAGGGCCAGACTTCGGATCGTCTAATTGTTTCGTAAGTTTCGATTATGCGAGGTGCAACCATAGCACAACTCCATCGTGAGACAAGCAAAAACGAGAACAAAATCGCTATCGGGACGAGATTCTTATCCCATCTACAACTGCATCAGGTGTGGGCAAAGATTCGACACAAACAAAAAGCAAGGACAGGGATTCTCAGCAAAAAGATAGACACACAGGCATAACGTCCATACATCCATACATCCATACATCCAAACATTCGATAATCACACACATGATGCGAGCGAAGACAAGTGTGGGCAAAAACCCAAGCCCAGATTTCAGAAAGCCGAAACGGACATGAGAACGGGCAAAACCGCCCGGAGCCGCAATCAAAATGTATGTACACAGATGAAGAGGGGGAAGAGACAAAAAAACAACAAATCCGCGTCCATCGACCTCAACTCTTTTTTTTTTCTCTCTCTCTCTCTCTCTCTCTCTCTCTCTCTCTCTCTCTCTCTCTCTCTCTCTCTCTCTCTCTCTCTCTCTCTCTCTCTCTNCTCTCTCTCTCTCTCTCTCTCTCTCTCTCTCTCTCTCTCTCTCTCTCTCTCTCTCTCTCTCTCTCTCTCTCTCTCTCTCTCCGATGCGGACAGTCAGTCGTCACGCACCAACCCACGAAGTTGTCACCCCGCTTAGTCCTCACGCACCCATCGGATTCACCCGTGCCCACAGTCCGTCGTGGCCCACGTCAATCCCGCGCGTTCGGCACCAGCCCGTCGGGTCGCCCAACTCCTACTTTACTCACCTCTTACTTCGCTCGTGTGCCGATCCTTCCTGATCGCGCAACCCCGAGCTGCCAACAACGGGTTAAGAGAGCTGACTAATCGCGCAACCGAAATTTATAGCGTGCATGCATGCGCGAAGATCACGGAATTGTCAGGACTTAGAGTGAAGATTAGAGAGGGAGCGCCTGCGTTCTGCATGATCGGGCCACGGCGTGGGGGACGTAACCCTTCTCCACGCATCGATCCGAGCATGCAAGCCGCGACCTACGAAAATTTCAGCAAAAAAAAGAGAGGGAGGGCGGGAGAAACGAAGTGCAAGAAGAAAGATACAGTTACAATGGCGCCCGCCCAAAATTACAGTTACACACACGAATAAGGGCGCCCACTAATCAGAGTACCGTTGCAGCCGCATGAAGAAGCGCGTAGACAAAAGGCACCGCGCGACAGAAAAAGTCCTAATTACTAAGTTCTTAAATTCCTATCTAATGCGAAAAAGCAAAAAGCATAAATTATAGAAGGAAAGTCCAAAATTCCGAGAGCCATCGGGAGAGGGGGGGGGCTCGACAAAATTCGAAAAAGACTCAAAGGAAAAATTCAAAAGAACGAAGCAATTTCCCGCGCGATGTCCGTGCCCAAAAGATCGAAACCGAAACGAAAGAAACGACGTCAACATTTATTAATCGCGCGCGTGGTGGCGCGCCAGACATCCATCCGACCAATCACTCAACCGGCCGTCCCAGGACACACCCAGCTCCGAACCCAGTCATTCGACAAGAAGCGACGAAAAAGACGAAAAAGCAAGGGTACTGATGCAAATTTTCCACCGATCCCGATTTCCCGTAATCGGCCCAATCTTCCCACCTTAGGACCCCTCGTTGCAACCGCGCAAAAAATCGCGCGTTACAGAAAGTGGTTCGTCACAGGGCCGGAATGACTCAGGATGTTGGATACTGGCAAGAAAGTGACCAACAACAAAGGAACCCTGGCTTCAAGACAGACAAAAGGTGACGGTTGGGGCAGGGGCAGCAAATGGTTCTAGCAGCCTGGTCCTTCAAGCCATCGAAAATAAACATATCATTGGGCCCTCCAATCTTATGGAGACTCTCCCAGCCTTTGGTTGACCCAGTCAGACACAAGCAATACAACCTTCCTCCCATCCTTTCCCCAAATCCAACCCACAATCTGCTTTCAGTCAGATAAGTAAAGGAATGATTGTGCAAGTTGCAGTTTTAGTTTTTGTTTAAGTCTGGTTTGTCCTGAAAGTAGGGAGACAGGCAATATACTAAGTCAAACATAACAAGAAATACAATTAGGGGATATAACCAGGGTTTATAGAAGGAAAACAAAGTCTTTACCTCTCAATTCCCTGTAGATTGTCTGGGCCTGGCGCTAGGAGCATTGACGTGAGGATGGGATGGGAGGTGGTCTCATATTCCAGGACACCTACGGCCTACTGCTCCACCTGATCACTGTGTACTCAGTGACTGGCCTCTACAACACCATGGACTTTCTTTAAAAAAAAAAAAAAAAAAAGGAAGTTTTCCTCATCTATCTCATCCTCTTTATACTTCACAAGGGGGGGGCACCACCCAACCTGGATATATCCCCAGCCCAAGGGGTAGGTTTGCGCCACAGCAGTGGTGTGAGAGGATGTACCAGCCTCTCATCACGGTGATCACGGGTGGGCAGGTATTGCCTACGGGAAAACACTGGCAGTGTTAGTGCCCAGCACCATGGCCTGTCTCTGCACCTCCCCCTTCCCCCTTCCCGACCCCACATCAGAGGTGTCTAGTAGCCAATATCGTTGTTGCATGGCACCCAACAATATTGACCAAGGTCATTTTTTGGGCTTGTTGGACTGTTTTCAAATACCGTGGCTCGGGCTTTGCTTAGCCGGAGAGCCTTGCTCAGCTCGACAGCTGCGGCACTCTGGTAAGGGACGCTGGGCCCTGTTCCCAGCTTATAATAATTTGTCTAAGGCCCTGCCGACGCTGGCCTTGGGCGGCCAACAGGCTATTTCTGGGTCGGCGGAGACGAAGCATGCCCAGGCACGTACGTGAGGCGTTTAGCGATTGAACCCACGTCCTCCTGAATTCAACTTGTGTGCCTTACCAACTGAGCCCGCGTGCCCGGATTTTGCAATCCGGTTGCGCCGCCAAAGAAGGAATAGGCGGGCCGAGCGGAGTTTACCTGCACGCAAACGGGCGCGCGGAAGCGTAGTCTCTCTCTTTCTCTCTCAGTGCCGGCGGTGTTGTGCCTGAAGATGTGGAGAGTTCCATGCCCCAAAACGATATAGGTGAGTCCGCGCGGTGTAGAGAACTTCACCCTCCCTCCTCCTCCCTCCCTCCCTCCCTCCCTCCCTCCCTCGCCCTCTCTCAGCATATTGTGTGTGAAGAGGTGGAGAATTCCGTTCACACTCGGTGTAAAAACCAGATATTTTGATTCGCTCGGCGTGCGCAAAGCTCTCTCTCTCTCTCTCTCTCTCTCTCTCTCTCTCCACATCCAGGTTTAGGGCTGCAACTCCCGTTTGTGTGGGTGTGTCATGTCGCAAGTGGGACATGCTTTCTGCACCGCCGCTATCGGAAGGAGTAGGTGAGAATCATGTCGTGAATGCGGAGAGGCAGGGGAAGAAAAAGGGGAAGTGAAGAGCCTGGTCAGGGAGGCAGGAGAAGGTCGGCATCGAAATCTTGAGACGGTGGAGGTCGTGAGCTTGGTGCTACGTGAACTTTCCTCCGTGCTACTTGAACTTCGAGTGGCTTACTGCAATGTGTGCTTAAGGCATTGTCCACTTTTGTGGAACTTGGACGGCTAGGCTACATCGTGACCGAAGGCTTGGGCGCGTTGTTGGTTGATCGTTGTCGGCTGGAGAGGTTTCGCTGACGTGGCGAAGTCAACTCTCTCGAGAAGGAGATCAAGCTGAAGCTAAACTTTCCGGCGGCTGCCACTCGGAGGAGCGAGATTGCAGATTTGTAGTGAGAGCGAGATTCGCTTCGCTTTGTATAGATTGGCTTGTCCATCTTTGCTGGCGACACTTCCATCGTCCCAGGAATGATTGTATTGCCGCGCCCCGATGGGATGGGATCTTTGCTGTTGGCGCTGCGGTTAAAGTTTTGAAGAGGAAGCGGATAGTTGCTTGGCGTCCTCTTGACATCTTCAACCCTCTCAGGGCGGCCTTCAACTGCGACTCGCAATTACGGTCAGATTCATACAGGTGAATCTGGCCGTAATTGTGTGTCAGGTACGTTCAGGTCTAGCTGTGATTGCGTGGTGAGGAATACATCGTCGAGGAAAGTCGATAGTGTCGGCAGTCGCCCCCCCCTTCCCCTTCATTGGTCTGTTCCGGCCACCAAGATGGTTTTCTGGGGGGTTGAGGTTAAACCAGGCAAGCCATTTAAGCAGATCGCAGGGTCCAGTGGGAAGCACTCCCGCCTTCATGTCTCCCAGGCGGTGCTTGGACATTTTTCGGATGTGGATGTGGGGGGGGGGGGGGGGGGGGGGGTAAGCGGTCGATAGTAAAATGTAAGGTTGGCCAGGAAGCACCGGAATTGTTCATCTGCTCACTACGAGCTGGAAAGGAAGACTCGGCTGGCCTCGATCTGATATTTGAAGACGATGTCACATTCTCAGTATCTGGACCCACTAGTGTGCATTTAACAGGCTACTATATTCCTTATGAAGAGGAGAATGATGATGATGATGATGAAGACGATGAAGATTATGACGATATCATCTTGGATGGGGATGAGGAAGATGAGTCCATGGACGACGAAGATGAGATTGGCGAGTCAGAGGAGGACGATGATAGCCAAACTGATGATGATGATGATGATGATGACATGGTGCCGGAACTTGCACGACCGGCGAAATCAAGTGTTGTGATTTGTGAGCTGGATGAGGGGGAAGGCGGCGATGGAGATGTGAGTGAAGCGTTAGGGAAAAGGAGGAGCAGCTTGAACACCAGCAGGGAAATGGATACGGGTGCTGAGGAAGAAGAGGAAGAAGATGAGGATGGCTTTGTGAAATCAAGAAAGAGACATGCAAAGAACAGGACACAGAAGGAAGGCCCGCCAGAAAAGAAGGCGGCGCTATCTGTCGATGATGCGAAGCCTTCACCTTTCCCTACAGCTGGTGGAAAGGCCTCTGACGATGGTCAGGCAAAGAAGGAAGAAGTAGATGACAAAGCAGGGAAGAAGAAGAAAAACAAGAAGAAAAACAAGAATAAGCAGCAGGGTGCGTTGCCAGCAGCCGAAGGGCAATCAGAAGCGAAGGGGGGGGAAACTACTACAACCGGTCAAGATCAAGTCGTGACGAAGAAAGATCAAGTCGTGACGAAGAAAGATAATACTAATAGTCAGCAGAAGGGCAAGTCCAGTGAGGCAAAGGCGGCGGGCGGCCAGAAGCATCAAAAGTCATCGGCAGAGACGACAGCTGCTACTACGCAAAACACGAGCGCTGTGGAAACCAAGCCGTCGATCAAATCGGAGGCATCGTTGGTGGTGAGGCAGTTCCCGAACGGTTTGGAAGTGAGGGAGCTGAAGATGGGAAAGCCGGATGGCAAACTTGCCAAGCCTGGGAAGACGGTGCTTGTAAACTACATAGGGAAGCTTCCAAATGGGAAGGTATTTGATTCTACGGTAGGAAAGAGACCGTTTGCATTCCGACTCGGCGTTGGACAAGTAGTTAAGGGCTGGGATATAGGTGTGAATGGCATGAGAGTGGGTGATAAGAGGCAACTAAGGGTGCCGCCATCTTTAGGGTACGGTTCTCAAGGTGTGAAGGGGGTCATTCCTCCCAACTCCACTCTGGTGTTCGATGTGGAGCTAGTGGAAGTGAAGAAGTAAAATATGAACATGTGTGACCTTTAGGCAGAGATCTTTACAAAGATTTTTTTTGTCGGCGGACACGACAGACGTGTGGGCTCCCTTCCCAGTTTCGGGATTTTGTTCACTCTCTCTCCCTCTCTCTCCTGTGCTCCCTCTCTCTCCCTCTCTCTCTCTCTTCTCTCTCGCCCCCTTCCTCGCTCTCTCTGCTTCTGTGCCTGCCATAAGTTTTTCCGTGCAGCCAGCAAGCCGGTATGCCGGGCTATATGTCCATGTGCCCTCCCGCCTGCCCAGCTCGCGCCCTACCCTCTTCTCTCGAATACATTGTACGAGCGTTATAGCTGAATTAGGGGTATTTTTCAGTCGACATACGGCTATAATGGCCCCTCGTAGTATTGGGGGAAGACCGTAGCGCTCACCCGCCACCCACTGTCCTGCTTGTCCGCCGACCCGCGTACCCAGCTTCCCGTGCGACCGCCTGCCTGCCTGGTTCAGTTTTCTCAGAGGGGTTGCTTGCACTTCCATTTGGCTCTCTGCTGCTGGTAGTTCAAGCCGAGGCGATTTGCTACTGTTCCTTCTTTTTTTTGTTGACTTTTTGCTTCTGTTTTGGCGTGAAGTTGTCAACGTGTTATAGCTATTGCTTCCGCACAGGCACCAACGATAATGAGAAAAGCTGCTACGATTTGATTCAGCTAATTTATGAAGATCAACTCTTTTTTTTCCTAGCAAATCCTTGTTTTTTCGGAGCATCCTGTATTTCAGCAGATAAAGATTGATCTAAACTTATGTTTTTATTTGCACGATTCT